TTAAAAATAAATAAAAAATAAATAAATAAAATAAAATAATAACAATAAATTAAAAATTAAAAATTAAAAATTAAAAATTAATTAGAAAAAAAAAGGGAAATGGGTGTGGTGGGAAGGAGATAGTGAAGGGCAATTTTGGAATAATAAACATACGAAAATTGAACATGGACTTTTCTCAAAGAGTGGAATGTCGAGTGGACCTCTCCATATTAAAAGAAATATTGAGGAACTTTGCCTTTTGATACAAATATTGAAGGGATCTCAAATAGCCCCTATTATTTATACATCTTTCATATATATTATCATATGGTAATCGAATAAATTACAAAATACTACATTATTTTTCTTAAAAGGCACCGAACATTGTTAAACATATCAATAGCGTGATTTGATTGCTAAAAAAATATGGGCATATTACAAAGCTCATCAAGGGTTTACTGATTCATAAAGGGGTTCACAGAAAAAAAACTTTTTTACAAAAAAATCCACATATAGTTCAGAGGTGTGTAAAAGACTAAAATAGCCCCTCACATTTTAATATGCTCCAATTTATCATTTAATTTAATTTAACCTCAACTTGACCCCAAATTTCACAAATTATTCAATTTTAACCTAAAACTCAATTTGTAGTACAATTTCGCCCGTCGCCGCCGTTGACCACCAATCTCCGGCGATGACTTTTTTTTTTCTCCCTGATATTTCTGCCGGTTTCCGATGTTGACTTTTTTTTTTTAATTTAATTTTCTTTAACATCTTTTTGTCCTGTTTAAACAACAATATTGTTGTGGTTGACAGTCAGATTAACTATATTACTGTTAAACACAATAATATTAACTATACTACAATTTAACATAGTAATATTGTTATATTAATCTCTAGCACTGTAATATTAACACAACAAAAGTCATTATTATTATGTAATAGAGTAATATTAATATTTTAATCGTTCAACAAAGGTAAACATAATAAAAGGCCAAAAGAATTAATATTGATGTGGTTGATATTACTGTCATCCACAGTAATATTAATGTAACAACAGTAATATTACCGTCAACCACAATAATATTATTGTGTTTACAGTAATATTACAATAGTACAAAGTAATATTATTACGTTAATCTGTCAACAATTCAAACAAAACCAAAAAAATAATAATAATGGTATGGTTGTCAGTAGTATTATTGTGTTTACAGTTATTTTATCGTCAACGACAGTAATATAATTGTGTTAACTTGCCAATAAATCAAACAAAAAAACCAAAAAAAAAAAAAAAAAAAAAAACCAAAAAAATAATATTATTGTCGTTCACTGTAGTTGTATTGTCAATGACAGTACAATTACTATCAACAATAGTATAATTACGGCTACTGACAGTACAATTACGGTCAATGTTTAGCGATGGAAGTAAAAAAAAGGGATAAAAAATTTAGGAAAAAAAACACTAAAAAATGTCAATGCCGGAAACCGGCGGCAAAAAAATAATTTCAGAAAAAAAAAAGTTAAAAAACAAAATCTTAATTGAATTTTTGTTGTCAAAATTGATTAAATTGGGGTTACAACTAAGAATTGAGTGTAAAGGGTTGGGGTAATTTTGCCATATACATTATTTTTTCCTTTATTTACAATTCATATTAAAAGGATAGGCTTATTGGCGAAAAACATATAATCCCTCAACCAAGAATAATAAAAATGGTTGGTTAGGGACTTATGCACAAAAACCCAAAAAATATACTGATTTTTAGGGGTGTGCGCGGGCCATAAACCCGCGGGTTCTATCAAAACCCGCCCTTGTCCCGTCAAACAACGGTTCTTGATTTTGAAGAACCGAACTTGTGGGTTTTTAACGTGTTTATGATAGGCGGGTCCATGGCGGGTTTGTAGTAGGACCCAACCTTTACGGGTCGAAACCCGTTATCGTCTAAACTATTTGTTTTTATATATAATTTATAAGTTTTACGGGAGAATAATTAGAAACTAAAATGAATAACCTAAAATTTTAAATTGAAACCAAACATAAATAATGTAAATGTCAAGAGTAAATAAAAATTAATATAAAACTAAAAATAACTAATTCATAACTTAAAAGACAAAATTTAAATAAAATAAATATAGCTTTTTCAAGCATAACCAACACTATTCAGCTCCATTCAACACCATTTTCTTCCTTTTTTTCTGCTGTGTGTTGACCGTTGTATATATATGTTTTTTTTCCTACATTTTCTTAGAGATTTTCATAATCTTTATAGCTATTACTTCCACAATTATAGTTTAGTTGATTTATGTATTTGATACACTAGAGATACTTTATTTATTCATTAATATTATTAATTTATTATACTATATAATGTAAACAAAACGACGTCGTTTTGTATGGCGGGGCGGGACGGGTTTCACGGGTATTAAAAAAAATTGAACCCGTCTAAGACCCAAACCCACGGTTCTTCACCATTTTAGGACCCAATCCTATGGATGGATCTATCCGTCCGGTCCCAACGGGGCGGTTTTTCACGGGTTTGACGGGTGTAGCGGGTTGATGGGTCCGACTTGCTCACCCCTACTGATTTTATAACATTTCCTTTAAATTATCAAACATGAGACTAGAAACAATTAAGAAATTATTAGGGTTCTTTTATCCAGAAGTCTTAACCAACTAACAACCTTTATTATTCTAGGTTCAGCTGTTATATCTCTTTCGTTAATAAGTTCATCCCTTTAACATGTATAGTAAGTAAAGACAAAATTACCCCGAATTCGTAATTGTAACCCTAATTGTAATAACACTAATTTAACCCCAATTTCAACAATTTTGACAAAAAAGTCCAATCTTGACCTTTTCTTTTCAAACTTATTTTCTGATTTGTTTTTTCTGCCTCTGGTTTTCGACGTTGATTCTTTTTTTTTCTCTTTTTTTTTCTTTTTTGTTTATCGCTTTCCGCCGTCGCTGACGGACGGTCAACGCCGATCTCCGGCAACATTGACTTTTATTTTATTTTTCACCCGCCGCTGACTTTTACAGTAATAACAGTATTGACAGTAAAATTACTGTAAACACAATAATATTACAGTTAAGCACATCAATATTATTATTTTTGCCCTTTTTATTTCTTTGATTTGTTGATCGGTCAACGTAATAATATTACTGATTACTATTGTTATATTAATGTATGACAATTATATTATTGTTGACCTCACTAATTAATATTACCATCCATCAAATCTATTTTTTTTTTTTACTTTTATTCTGTTTGTCTTTGTTGACCGATCAACATAATAATATTATTGTATTATACGATAAATTTATTATATAACATATTGATTTTATTGTATTAATATTATTGTGTTAGATAATAATATTATTGTGTTAAACAGTGATGTATAGTATTACTGTGTTAAACAGTAATATAGTTAATATTTACTGTTTTTACCTGTGCAAAAAAATAATGGAAAAAAAAGAATTCAAAAACGAATTTTCAAAAAAAAAAAAAAAAAAAAATTAAAAAGTTGATAGAATAAAAAAAAGAAAAAGTCAAGGCCGTAGGTGAACGACGGCGATAAAAAAAAAAAGGAAAAAAAAGTCAACAGTAGGTGACAGACGGTTGACTTATTGGGTTATGGTCAAAATTTAATATTTAGTGAAATTAGGGTCAAATTAAGGTTAAATTATGATTAAAGGGGAAAAATTGGACTATATTTAAATATGAGAGGGTATTTTTCGTCTTTTACACACCTCTGAACCTTGTGTCAGTTTTTTTTAAAAGTTTTTTAAGAGTTGGACCTAAATATGAATAAATAATCCAATATGAGCTTATTGCCTAGATTATTATTGTATTCCTTATTTCATTGTTAAAACATGACAAGAATAGGCATACAAATCACTCTCATTCCATTCCCCAACTTATTTCATTGCCATAATGAGGGTTGAATCAAAATTCTTGAAAACTTGATTTAATAAATTAGTTAAAAGATTTGAAATTCGACAAAATAATTAGTTTGGGGTGAAATAATTTGTTTATAAAAATAAATTAGACAACGTCGCTAGTGAGTTGTACAATTTTGGAGGAAAATTTGATCCTCAATGTTAAGCACCAAAAAGTAGGGGTAAGCATAAAAACCGAGAAACCGAAAACCGAACCGAAAACCGAAAAAACCGAACCGATATACACTGTCCCGACTTAAAACCGCATACACGGTAAATATTTTTTGAAAAATCGAAAAAATCGGTATGTGTATGGAGAATTTTTTTTTTGGCGAATCGATTTACCGAACCGAACCGACTTGGGAATACAAAACTACGTCGTTTGATAGATAGTAAAAATCGGTAAGTTTTTTTGATAATCAATGTGTCCACATTCAGATACTTACTCTTTTGATGTAGTTGGACTTCTTTTGTGATGGGATAATAGGTTTATTTTTTTGAAGATGACATTAATGACACCAGGTTTATTAGTTAATCTCATTATGTTTTTTTATGGCAGCAGGGTTTTTTTTTTCTTTTTTTTCCTCTTTTTTAATGGCAGTAAATTTGTTTTATTAGTTAATTTTGGATTGTTACTTGTTAATTTTCTCAAAAAAATGTGATAGAAGTCCAACTTCACCGTTAATCAAACATCGGTTTTATTCCGAACCGATTCGAACCGATAACGAAACCGAAAGCGAAAATAAACCGAATTGATACCGATATCGTTTATCGAAAATCGAAAAAAATCGATTAGTACCGAACCGAAAAAAAACCGACATACACGATTTAAAATATGAAAAACCGTTATTATCGGTACGTGTTTGGTTTATTGCAAAAACCGAACCCTACCGACCCGTGCACACCCCTACCAAAAAGTGGGAAGAATTTAATATATTATTTATATATTTACTTGTTATATTTTTGCAATAAAGAACATCAAGAACCTAAACCTAACGTTTCCATTGAATATACAATCATTTTTTTTGTGTGAAGTAAATAAACATTTATTTAGTAACTTAAATACTAAAAAAACTCATTTTGCTTTAGTTTGGAAAAGAAAGAGTAAAAAAAACCCAAACAACAAACTCCATGAATACTTGAATACATGTTTGTGTTTGTGGGAGTAAATAATATAAAGTGGGAAAACTTGATGCCCTCTTCCTTTGCTTTATCTGCAAGTACCCATAGTTGGTAATTTTTTGATCTTTTCTCTATTGGCAACTTAAGCAAAGACAAATGATGCTGTTTGACAGCAATGAAATGAAACCCTGCCCACATTCTGTTTGTTAAAATTACTAAGTGAAAATTTGGTGCTTTCTTCTCAATTTTAGCTGCCCATTTTCAGAATATCTCAAAAGGGCCCTGCAATTTTGCCTTTCTGGGGATTTTTAGCACCACCAGCCTTACTTAATGCTTAGATTTTGACTAATTGTGTATTAGTTTATAGTTAAGCAAGGGAATCTGCTTTTCCATTGGAATTGTCCGTGAGCTTTTTTACTTAGACCAAAAGCCCATCACATCTTCACCACTGTGTTTCAGAGGATTACTTTTTTTTCCGTATTGGAGTAAGCTTTGATTCATTCATGGGTTCTTGAAATATGAATTAAAATAGCCACTGATGCAAAAATTGGATTAGGGGTTTATTTCTCTTCTGCTTTCTTTAACTTTTCTTTTTTAAATTTTCTCACAGTGCTGTAAATAAAAGCTGCCAGGTTTTATTCGTGCCTTGTTAAGTCCTGCAACATAAACATTTGGTCAAACCCCTGTTCTTTTGCCTTAGTTTTTTTTTTTTTACCTCTTAAAAATTTGGCTGTTCTTGGATTTGGTTTTGATTCTTGAAAATGGCGTCTGAAGAAAGTGGGGATAATAACAGAGTGTTTCATCAATCTGCCCCTTTCTATGGTGGTTCTGTTAATTGGGATTCATTTGGAAATTCTAACATTGTTCTTCATCCAAATGATTTTGCTAATCAAATTCAGACAATGGGAAGTTCTTCCCAATTTGCCCACTTTCCATCCGATTCGGGTTTCGTCGATATCGTGTCGAAAACGATCCCTAGTTTTCGGAGTGGAAGTTTCTCGGAGATGCACACTTCTTTGGATTGTGCAGCTGAATCAGATTATTCACCTTATGGAAAGAGGAAAAGAGGAGCTTCACCCAAGGTAAAGCTACTCATATAATATATATAAATGTATTTTTGTTTAATGTATTTTGGTTCTGTTGTTATATATATAGAATGCTGAAGAAGAAGAAGAAGAGAAGAAAGATTGCTGTGTGGAGAAATCTGATTTAGCTAAAGAAGAGGATGAAGAGAAGCAGAAATCGGTTAAAAAGGCGGATAATAATTCGGTAGATTTAGAACCTTCGAAAGAGAATTACCTTCATATGAGAGCCAAAAGGGGTCAGGCAACAAATAGCCACAGCCTTGCCGAAAGGGTATTTTTTTTCTCAGTTCGAAACACGAACGATTTTTTTATACGCGAAAAAACTCGGTTTTTGCTTATTTAAATTGGATTTCGGAATTGTTTCGATGTAGGTGAGAAGAGAGAGGATCGGTGAGAGGATGAAATTGCTTCAAGAACTCGTTCCCGGTTGCAATAAGGTCAATGGTGCTTTTCAGTTTTTTTTTCTCTAAAATTGCGAATTTTCGTAAGTGGTTTTGATATAAGTTCTTATGGTTTTTTTTTTTTTTGTCGATTTTGGGATTTTGAAGATAACTGGAAAAGCGATGATGCTTGATGAGATAATCAACTATGTGCAATCACTCCAACAGCAGGTTGAGGTATGCGTTTTCATCAATTATCATAAATTAAATATGGGATTCGGTATGCCGTCACTCATCAATCCACTCGACCCGTTTATATCTATATATATACATACATAAGCATTATATGTGCACTTAAGATGATTCACTCGAGCAATAAAAATGTAGAAGATTTCTGAACTATGTATAACAAATGAGTTTATTGCAGTTATTACCCCCGTGTTACACCGAATTGCTAAAATTCCTTTTTCGTTATAAATATTAGCAGAACAAACCGATGATGCATTTTTTTAAGCACACAGCCCCCTAGATGGTGCATTTTTCGGGGGTAGTTTGCTAATTAAATTACATCATAGGGGTGATTTGCTAATATTTACAAAACGGGGGTGTTTTTTATAATTAGACTAACACAGAGGTGCCAAATGCAACAATCGAATAAGCTTATAGTTGTAGAGTGTAGTAATGTTTATGTACTTTCTCATGCAAAAACGTTTTTTTTTTTTTCTCGTTGCAGTTCTTGTCAATGAAGCTTGCGACGGTGAATCCAGAGGTGAATGTCGATATAGACAGGATATTGTCTAAAGATGTGAGAAAAAAATTGCTCCCCAATGCATGCATAATTAAATCTTCTTCAATTTACGGCCCCCGCATACCAAAATTAATTTCCGTTTGTTTTTTGTTCATTAGATTCTCCACTTGCGTGGCGGAAATATAACCGCACTTGGAATTGCTCCGTCGTTCAATCCATCCCATCCTTTCCAAGGAACCTTCAACGCAACTCCACCGTTTAATCCATTAATATCACAGGTAACGCAAAATATCTCTTGGGGTGCGTTTGGATTCGATGAGATATTTAGGAAACGAGATTGATTTAAAATCCATCCACGATGATTTTAAACAATAAAAATCAATCCAGACAAGCTCAGTTGATTTGTTACTGTGTCATTTGAGATCGTTCGCTCGAATCCATCAATCGTTTATTGATACACAAGTATACAAAGTTCTCGTGTTTAAAAACAATAGATAAAAATAATATGGTATTTGGTGTTGCAGCATACATGGAACAATGAGCTCCAAGGTATTCTCCAAATGGGATTTGATCCCGATCCCTCGAATAGCAGTTTGGGGCAAAATGGTAATTTCTCGAGGCTACTGATCAAGTTTTCTCGTTTTTTTTTTCCTTCTTTGCTATCTGATTGATACGATTATATTGTTTTGCAGGGCCATCGAGAATGGAGCTATAGAGTGTTTTATGAAAAAAAGTCGAGACCGCTGCTCTTCTAACCAAAAATTCAAGCATATATATATATCTTGTGAAGATTTGTTTTATCGAAAGTAAAAATGCTAAGCAAACGTTTGCACTTCTGATTTTTATTATGCCTGTATGTATAGGTTCTAAAGCCACCTAACTCTTTGTTCTTCGAATTTTTAAGAGAAGAAAACTTGACTACTGAAGATGATTGATTTTGTTAGTATATACAAACTGTGTATAACAAGGTACACTAGCTATACCATGTGTAGTCTTCACAGGGTATAGCATATAAATAACCTGTAGAAAGTGTGCCTTGTGCAAATGTGTTAGATTTTGATTTATTATTATTATTTCTATTATTGCTACACATCCCTTTTTATTTTCTTCCCATTTTTTCCCACAAAATGAATATATGTTTGTTAAGATTTTCAAAATATTTTCCCAAAACAGTTTAGAAAAATTTCTCTCTTTCTCGAAATATGGTTTGACGACCACAGTAAAAATTATCCTCACTAAAAATAAGCGAACCTTACCTTTTTTTTTTTTGATAAATAACCGATAGCATTAATGAGAAATAAAAGAGTCAACAAGGGGTGGCCCGCATCACAAAAGCAACAAACAGGAATTAAATTAACATTAATAAAACCATTCCACTTGCAAGAGAGTGCCCATGAGGAAAGATTGTGTGCGACAAAGTTTTAATTTCTTCGGCAGAATTTGAACTTCCATTTTGACCAAAGAGACCAAAATTTTCGAATTTCGTCGATAAGGAAACAAAAATTAGAGTTGGGGATGGCAGATTCATCCACAATGAATTTGATTGTGTTGAGGCAATCAGCTTCAAAAACAACATTTTTAAGGTTTACCTCATTGATAAACATACATGCATCTCGTATGGCCAATGCTTCAGCGACAAGGGAGTCATGGCACATATACTGTTTGACAGATGTATATACAATGGATCCATTGTTGTGGCGAATCAAGAAGGTTGTGGAGGCTGCTCCATTAACAAAGGAGCAATCTGAGTTGATTCTAACCTACCCAAAAGGTGGTCTCTTTCATATTGTACTGTGATCTTTCCCAGTTTTGATTGCTTTAGTGAGCTGGCAGTTCGAATGTTCCAAAGCCATTGAGGAAGCTATCTTAAGAGTGATCTGAAACGAGGGAAGAGAAACACCATGAGTGATATTATTCCTATTAGACCAAGTGAACTAAAAAAACAACAACTGCATAAACAAGAAACTCTTCTCTAATAATATCCGAATGAAGAAAACTGTTATTCTTATCAAGAATCAGCTCAATCCAATCTTTAATCGAATAATTATTAAAAGTCTCAAGGCAGAGATTCCACTTGGAAGCAAACCACAACTGCTTAATGATTGGGCATTTGAGGAAAAGGTGGGATGAGTTCTCGGTGTCAGAGTTACAAAGGGGACAAAGGGTGTCATTGACTGGAAAAAAAAGAATTGAGTTTTGCCTTGGTGGGAAGGATATCATTGATGAGTTTCCAAATGAATAATTTATGTCTATTATGAATTTTTGCATTGCAAAGCTTATTCCAGGGGAAGGTTGATGCATTTTTGACATAAATGATTCTACGATCATTCAAGGTTAGGTAGACACTTTTGGAAGAGTGGTTCCCTGACAAGGAGGGAGGCCAGAAGAGGCTTGGGGGTTTACAGATAGGAGAGATGATGATCTTCCTGATTTCATTTACCATCTCAAGAGGGAACATCTCAAGAAGAAGGCTGATGTTCCAAATAGGAGAGCAATCAAACATGAGATTTTTACAAGTCTGTATGAAGGATGTGGAACAGTGAGGTGTGGAAGGGGAGTTGGTTTGAAGTTGGGGATTGTTGGGATCCAAGGGTCTTCCCAAATTCTAACTGAGGAGTTGATGGAGATAGAGAAGCATGCTCCTTTTCGGATCACATGCTTGGTTTTAAGGATAGCATTCCATGTCCAAGAAGAATTAGTGGAGCGAAGGTCAGTGGCAAGGAATGACTGAAGACCAAGGTATTTGGCAGATAGAAGCTGGACCCAAAAGGAGTCATGAGATGAAGCAACAGACCATGCAAGCTTTGAAATAAGGGCAGTGTTTGTGTCAATGAATCTCCTAAAGCCTAAACCACCAGCAGATTTCGGAAGAAGGAATGTGGACATATGGTATGAAGGAATGGCTTTTGCAACAGTAGAAATAAGAATACTTCTGCTAGCATGGGAAAGGCCTTTGGCCTTCTAGCCAACCAATTTGGAATTGCCTTTTGTAATGAGTTCCTTGAAGGTTGTGGATCTGTTTTTGGGGATACAGAATGGAAGACCTGGATGTCTCTCTTTGTAGGAACACTCACCAAAACTGAGAATATTAAGTATGGAGATTTTGGTTTGGGGAGGAGTGTTGGTGCTAAAGTGAATGAATGATTTAGTGGGGTTAGGAAGTTGACTGGACCAAGAAGTGAATTTTTCGAATGTGTCCTTAATGCATATTGCATCTTCATCACTTGCTCTGCAAAAAATGATAAGATCATCAGCATAGAGTAAATGAGAGACAAAAGGAGCTGTTCAGGAAATCTTTACACCTTTAAAACCACCAAATATTTCCTCAAGATTAAGAAATCTAGAAAGGAGATCAGAATAAAGAACAAAAAGAAAAGGAGAGAGATGATCCCCTTGTCTTATTCCTCTTGAGGGATTGAACAGTCCACAAGGAGTTCCATTAATAAGAATGGAGAATGATGATGTAGAAATGCACTGCAAGATCCAATCTGTAAAAATATTACAAAAACCAAGATTGGTTAAAATACAAATCAAAAGACTCCATTCAATTCTATCAAACGCCTTAGCAAGATCAACTTTAACTGCCATAAAACCTTTTTTCCTTTCTTCTTATGCAAGGTAATGCATTATTTCATGAGAAATTATGTTGTTATCATTGATGTTTCTGCCAGCCACAAAGGCCGTTTGGAAAGGGGAAATGATGAGAGGAAGAATAGTTTTCAGTCTATTTGCAATGATCTTTGAAATCACTTTGTATGTGACATTGCAAAGGCTGATTGGTCAAAATTGCTCAACATGAGTGGGATGTGGAATTTTGGGGATATGAGCAATGAAAGTGTGGTTAAGGGCTTTCAAAAGATGACCATGTTTAGAGAAGTGTTGAACAACATCTATAAGAGCTTTTCCAGTGGTTTTCCAATAAGTTTTATAAAAAAGAGGTGTAAGTCCATCTGGACCTGGACTTTTGTTAGAAGCAAAGGAAAATAGAGCTTTTTTAATATCAACAGGAGAAGGGATAAGGGACAGGTCATCATTATTACCTTGAGTGATAACAGAAGGAAAAAGGTTTTCCAAGTTATTGGGTAATAGGGTATTGTCATGAATGTATTCAGTTTGAAAAATATTTTCATATAAACTAGAGAAGCATTCACCAATCTGATTATTCTGGAAGACAAGGAAATTATCATTATTCTTGATTGAAAGGATTCGATTCTTCCTACCATGAATAATAATAGAACTCAGGTGAAAAAAATAAGTATTAGCATCACCATCATTCAGCCATTTAACTTTAGCCTTTTTGTTTCCAGAAAATCTCAATTTTTTTAACCAATCGTCTAGCTCTACCTGTAATTTCTTTTCCAAAGTGAGGTTCTCAGTAGATTGAACTGATTGTTGTATGTAGACAATCTCTTCTTTTAGTCCCTTTGTCTTTTGGTGACAATTACCGAAGTGGTGAAGGTTCCACTCTTTAAGAGCCTTCATAATATTCTTAATTTTCGAGTGAATTTGGTAATGGGGTGAACCATGGACAAGGATATTCCAGGCTGTGGTAACAGTATCGAGACATGTATTATCTTCGGTCCACATTGCTTTAAACTTAAAAGGCTTGCGCCCTTCAATGGCATGAATATATGTATTCAGAAGAATTGGAGAATGATCCGAGGCAAAATCAGGAAGATGAAGAATGCTTGAGTGAGGGAACACAGAGCACCAAAAAGAATTGGCATGTCCTCTATCGATCTTTTGCTGAATATTGGCAGCTCCATATCTTTTATTATTCCATGTGAAGGGATATCCATGGAATCCAAATTCAATGAAACCAAGAAAATCAAGATCTACAAGGAGATTATGTTTAGAGGATGACGAGAAATGGTTTCCACCAGTTTTTTCTGTTTGAGAGGTAATGGAGTTAAAGTCTTCCATGACCAGCCAAAGACCAAATAAGCTATATGAGATTGTATGGAGATGCGTCCAGTAATTTTTTTTTCCTGGAGTAGTGCATGGGCAGTAAATGCCAGAGAATTGCCAAGAGGGGAGGGAAGGATCAGTGGTAATAAGAGCATTGATCAGAAAGCTATTATGTAGAGTGATGTCTATCGTAATATTGGGAGTCCAAGCTAAACAGAGCCCACCAGCAATGCCAATGGAAGGAACAAACCAGTGCTTTGAGAGAGAGAGAGAGAGAGAGAGAGAGAGAGAGAGAGAGAGAGAGAGAGAGAGAGAGAGAGAGAGAGAGAGAGAGAGAGAGAGAGAGAGAGAGAGAGAGAGAGAGAGAGAGAGAGAGGTGAGAGTCTGAGAGATCCTAGAGGAGAAAGAAGTTTAGAAAAGAGAGAGAGAGAGAGAGAGAGAGAGAGAGAGAGAGAGAGAGAGAGAGAGAGAGAGAGAGAGAGAGAGAGAGAGAGAGAGAGAGAGAGAGAGAGAGAGGTGAGAGTTTGAGAGATTCTAGAGGAGAAAGAAGTTTTCACTTTAGAGAGAAAGAGGAGATCAGGCTTAGAGGAGAGGATGAGCTGCCTAAGAGCCCTGACTGCCTTGGGTTGGGCCAACCCTTGGCAATTCCACTCAATAATTTTCATAATGATTACTTCCCTGACCCCTTTGGGTCATTGATATCAGAGATTGAGTAGATTGTTGCAGAAGAGCAGGAAGAAGTAGAATTTAACACTTGGGGGTCTAAGAGAGATGGATCCGCAGGCAGTTCAGTAATGATGACAACAATTTTGTTTGTTATGTGGAGAGTTGCAATGCCATTGTGTGATCTATTGATTTTGAAAAAAAAATCTTTGCATGTTCTCCAGTGGCGAAGGAGCTATAGAGACATCGTAATTAGTTTGCAGGGATTGGCTTTGCTGAATGTTTGTTGTGTTAAGACAATCTGGGGTGTATGGTATGGGGTAGGTAATGTTCATGTCCGAGAGGATGTGGGTGACAA